AGACTATGACGGATTTGGATTCGGTGACTATATTTAATATAAGCACTGAGTACCTGTATCATCTGAACCGTTAAAATTCAGATCAAAGGTTATAAATTTATATTTCATTTAAAATTAATGAATAAGTGAGTTTATTTAAACTATTGATCCAAATTTTAATTACTCATATAAGATAGGCATTTAGTGCTATACTAAATACAGTCACCGAATCCAAATCTGACTATGACACTAGTTCGATTTAAAAACTTGGTGATTTTTTTTTTTTTACTAATTCATAGCATGGTCATATATAACTATTCATTGAAATTACTTAAATTATTGTAGCGCTGACTTTCTTCTAGTTAATCTTATAATAACCAGAACTTGCAAATTGCACGCTTAGTTTATTAAAATTTTGTACGTAGTAACTAACTTTGACAGGAACATTTATTAATATAACGTGTTCAAATTCAAAGCAAACTAATACTATGGCTTTAACGTAAAATAAGTAAAATTAAAACAAAATTTTGAGAAATACATCACTCCGGCGTCCGTAAAGATCGATATTACTTATGACCTTCGTCGAACTCCATGGGCCCGGAGATAACATGTATGGAAATGAACGTGGTTTCTCTTGTTACCTGGTCCAAATGAAGCCTTACAAGTTGGCAAAAAGGGGAGGGGAAAAAAAATGCCCATGATTAATCGGTATTCGGTAGAATTTCCTTTTTCTTTTTTTCTTTTTTTCTTTTTACCTGAACCAGTACAATTTCATCTGGATTGATTTTATTATATATTTTTGTGGCTGCCAAGAAACGATGTGACTTTTCTTTCTGACACGTGTCAATGAAGGGTTCGTCACCAAGTACGTAAGGACAACCATCCCACTATCATAAAAGCACCACCACCACCTTCGTTCCTTTCTCGCACTCTCTCTCTGCTACACTCTTTGATCTCTCCATTACTTCTTGTCTGTGTCAGTGCGAGTGTTTCAATGGCCGTGCAACCTGAGTTTGAGCATCCAATGAAGGCCTTCGGATGGGCTGCTAGGGATTCTTCTGGCCTTCTCTTCCCTTTCAACTTTTTTCGAAGGTGCACACACACAGCTACAGTATTTTATGCTTTCTGATAATCATAGTGTTCACTTTTGGTCCATCTTGCTTCATTCTCGCTGTCAACATGAGCCATATGTTTCTCATGTCTTCAGGAAACCGGAGAAAAAGATGTGGCCTTCTAAGTGCTGTACTGTGGAATATGCCACTCCGACCTCCCATGCTCAAGAACGAATGGGGATTCTCCGTCTATCCTCTCGTACCTGGGTACGTACATTCACAGTTACACTCTACAAACTGCTTCAACATGATGAAACTCGTTAATATAATTATCATTCTAACGAGTATGGACACACATGCAGGCACGAGATTGCTGGGGTGGTGACAGAAGTGGGATGCAAGGTACGAAAATTCAAAGTGGAAGACAAGGTTGGCGTGGGATGCATGGTGGCATCCTGCCGACCTGTCAGAGTCGTTCCGACCACCTTGAGAACCTCTGCTCAAAAGCTATCGTCACGTACGGTGGCAAGTACGTTGATGGCACCATCACATATGGAGGCTACTCCGATCCGACTTCATGGTCGTCGACGAGCACTTCGTGGTTCGCATTCCAGATGCTTTGCCTCTTGATGCTGCAGCTCCTCTGCTCTGTGCTGGGATCACAGTGTACAGTCCTCTTAGATATTATGGCCTCGACAAGCCAGGCCTTCATGTGGGTGTGGTCGGTCTCGATGGGCTCGGCCATATGGCAGTCAAGTTCGCGAAAGCTTTTCGAGCAAAGGTCAGTGTCATCAGTACTTCTCCTAACAAGAAGAAGAAAGCCGTTGAACATCTAGGAGTTGGTTCCTTTGTTGTCAGCCGTGATGAAGATCAGATGCAGGTGATTATCATCACAAGTATTGTTGCTATTATATGTGTTAATATATATATATATATAAGCCTTCTAATAACAGTGTCATGCATGTTTGTTTGTACATATAACTGCGTAGACTGCGACGGGCACCTTGGATGGCATAATTGACCCAGTTTCAGTCGTGCATCCTCTCTCACCTTTGATTGATCTATTGAAGCCAAATGGCAAACTTGTGTGAAGCCTGAGAAGCCTCTGGAGCTGCCAGTATTTCCTTTACTTATGGGTGAGTATATACGAAGAAAGATTAAATGTACTGAATATGTATAATGTTATTGATTTATAAAGGTGAAAATGGAAATGATGTGAAGCAATTACAAGTGCTGCAACAATATTTATATATATTATATTGGCAGGGAGAAAGACAGTGGCTGGAAGTACAATTGGAGGCATGAAGGAGACACAAGAGATGGTAGACTTTTCTCCAAAGCATAACATAAGACCTGACATAGAAGTGATTCCCATCGATTATGTGAACACTGCTATGGAGCGTCTCCTTAAAGCTGATGTCAAATATCGTTTTGTGATTGATATTGGCAACACATTGAAGCCAGCCACTTAAATTTGCATGCGATTCAAGATTTCCGGGATTACTCGTACGCTGGTTTGTGCTTGTGTGTGTGTGTGTGTGAGCTACTATATATATAGTTTGTCATATTTATTTTTGTCTATATTCCTTATTGAGTACTCTTGAAAGGGATATGTTGTGGGTTCTATCGGTGGTTGTTTGTGTGAATAAATTAATACATTACATCGAGGTTTAGCTTGCCAATATATATATATATAATTCTCTGTCACAAAAGTGAGAATAAACTTCACTTAGTGATGAGATAAGAATCATTGGGATTTAAATTTAGTGATTATATTTAATATAAATATTGAGTGTTTATATTATTTGTTAAAATTTAAATAAATAATTTTAAATTTATACTCTATTTAATATTAATTAGTAAGCGAGTTTATGAGAATCATTAATATAAATTTTAATATTTCAGACGGTACAAACACTTGTAAAGCACAGTGATCATCGAATCCAAATATGAATCGTTGTCGTCTGTCTCAATTTTCAACAAGCCGTGACAATATTTTAGCAGTGATAATTTTCCTTTCCTGCCGCAACTGTTGCTGCTGATTCAGCATAGACATTTATTGTCGTCACAAATAAAATCAATAGAAATCGGGCCAACATTAGGGCGGCAAAATTTTCAGCAACAACTCTTCAATTTTTAGAAGCGACTTTTTTTTTTGGCAATGCTATTCCTTTCATGTCCGCTCTTATCTAACAGTATAACTTAATTACAAATGAATATGAAATTTTATTAATTTCAAATATTCACTAAGGATATTTTTTTAAAAAAATCATCAATCACTTCTCAAAAATATCAAATTACCTTGTATAAACGCTTATGAAATTGACAAACATTATCACCCTAGAGAACAAAAATCTCTAGAAACAGAACTATTTTTTGCTGCCGAAGCTAAAGAATATTTCTTTTTTTAAAAAAAAAGCTTTATTATCAGTGTTTTATAATAATTTTTGGAGGCGACTTTTTTTTGGGCAATGCTATTCCTTTCATGTCCACACTATCTAATAGGATAACTTAATTACAAATGAATATGAAATTTTATTAATTTCAAATATTCACTAAGGATATTTTTTTAAAAAAAATCATCAATCACTTCTCAAAAATATCAAATTACCTTGCATAAACGCTCATGAAATTGATAAACATTATCACCCATAGCCCAAAACTCTCTAGAAACAGCACTATTTTGCTGCCAAAGCTAAAGAATACTTCTTTTTTAAAAAAAAAAACATTATCATCAGTGTTTTATAATTATTTGGTAAACGTGAAGTACGAAGAAAATAATATTTTTTAATAATAAAATTGTCATAATTTAATTTGATGGTAACATCCATACACTTAAAAACATAGTGATTTGATTTTTGACTAACACAAAACATGTTCATTACTAATACTAATTATTAAAAAAAAAACATGGTCATCACTGATTGAATTTCTTACATTGTAGCGTTAACTCGGTTCTGATATTATGATAACCTGAAGAACTTGTAATTCCTTATTAAAATTGTGTGCGTAATAACTAACTTTGACTGTAACATTAATTAGTATCGCGAAAAGATCGATATTATAATTATAAAGCCTTGGTCAAACGTAACTTCATCAGCCAGAGATGATATATGTGGAAATGGACGTGGTTTCTCTTGTACTACTTGGTCTTGATCGATCGGCAATCAGTAGAATTTCATTAGAATTAATTTTATTTGTATTATATAATTCGTGTCTGCCAAGAAACGATATGTTCCTTTTCTTTTTGACACATGTCATAGAAAGATTCAAGTGCACCAAGTTGACTTCCCACTACTACAGTGAAAGAAGCACTGTAAATTTAAATCGTTAAATTAAATTTAATAATTTAAATTTGATAGTTTTTAAAAGTATAAATTAACTTATATTGTTAAAAGTTTTAATAGATGAGTAATAGAATGAAAACGCAGTGGAAAAAAACCAAGTCCCAAGCTGATGTCTTGTGTTGGAGTAGTGATGGTCACCGAGTAGTGTTGACATTTATATTAATTACACGGGTTAATTAGTTGATGCATGTTTTGCTCAAAATATATTATCATCACATACATTAGGACGGTACGGTGGCAAGCACATTGACGGCACCGTCACATACGGAGGGTACTCTAAGTTTATTGTTTCCGACGAGCATTGGTGGTTGGCAGCGTAACCTCAAGATGCTAGAATCACAGCGTATACGATGAGCATTTTGAGGTAATCAATTAGTGCAAAAGTTCATTTCTTTAAAAACAAAAATTAAGATACAAATATGCCCTTAAAGTTTTTACGTAAATGCACCTGATAGGCTAAAGTTTTTTTCTGCACAATTTTGCCCAATGTTTTTCAATTTGATTCAATTTTATGTTACTGTCAGGGTTTAACTGCTTTGACTTGGTTAAAATTTTGTACTGTTATCTTGCCATATTGGAATCCATCTGTCACTTCTCTCCTCCAAACCTAGATTGTTTGAAGCCTCATGCCCTCATCGTCATTATTGTCTCCCGTTCGCTTCTTCTTCTTCCACAGATTCCAATCCCCACTTCAATGCTCTCCCCTTGGTCTGCCATTACTGCCACCTCCTCTTCCCCCCTCCCCTTAAAACATCATCAAAACTAGTAACGGTGGTCGACTCCCCTTCCTTACTACTGACGATGGCTAACTTCCTTTTCATTTCTCTCCTCCAAACCTATTAGAATCTCGTTCTCGATCTGTGGCATAAGAGGTGTCTCGATGATGGCAAGCCAAAATCCGAGAAGGCCAAGTAGATTTGAAGAAGTAGGCACATCGATGATGGAAGGGGTTCTCGTCCAAGTTGATTTTGTGCTTGACTGAGGTTCCTCATTTTAATATCGTGGTGCCAATTCTGAGATAGACGAGTGTGGGATGTTCAGGGGTTTTCTTTTTGTGTGAGATAGTGAAGGTTTCCCTTGGTGTTGGGTTTTTTGTCCTTGCTCTTTTGTTTTGGTTCTTCATCCTTGCTCCTTGCTTTGAGTCTTGTAGCCTCAATTTCTAGGTTTGATTTGTATTTGGCTTTTTTTTTTTTGGCATGTAATTGATTTGTTTCTGGTTCCGTTTTTTTTTTTTTGTTTGATTTGTTTTTGGCTCAATTTTTTTCAGGTTTGATTTGTTTCTGGTTCAAACGAGGAGGGCGAAGAGATGACAGATATGTTCCTTTGATTCTTCATCGGTTAGCTTTGCCATCCACTATTCACCTCCCTTTGCCAGATATGATTTCCTCTACGGTTTGGGTTCAAATGTTTGATTTTGGTTCCCTTGATTTCTCGAAGGTTTGGGTTTGAGGGTCTCGATCTTGTTCTGAAGATATGATTTTAGATGCTTCATCTTTTTTGGTTATTTGTTAAGCAAAATTATTTTCATTTGCTTATTTTGTTGTAAAATTTGGAGCCAAATATTCATTTGTTGAATATTGATTGTAATTGTGGATATGGAATGTTTTGTCCGTAAATGATGGAATATTGATTCTGGAATTTTGATTTGAAGATGTTTCACCGGCAATGAAGGATGAAGATGAGGGGGGGAAGGGAGATCCGTTAGCTTGGGGTGAGATGGATGAGATTACGTATCAAAGTCAAAGAAATATCTGACATGGCAAGGGAGAGAAACGTGATGTGGACGTCCAATGATGTACAAAACAATTAAATGTTCAAAGTTAACAGTGGCAAAATTATACTAAATTAAAAAACTTTGGGGCTAATGTTATAACAAGGGATTTGACCTTTAACCATCCTTACCAAGAAATCATTGAACTGAAAGGCCTCGCTTAATTTCATGTATAGGGAAGCTAATATTAATGTTGATTGTTTAGCAAGAACTTGTCATTCACTTGATAATGTTTTGCACATCTTTGATCAACAACTAGCTTTTTTATAAGGGTGTGATAGTTTGTAACATCACAAAATTAATTCAAGATTAATTAAGCTAATTAAAAGCAAATGAGTAATTTTAAAGGAATACTTAGATATATATAATTGTAGTTAGAAAATTATTATTTATATTTAATCTAGATAAAATTTTAAGTTATGATTTTCTTTAGAAAATAAAAATAGTAATAATATTATTATTAAAAGGGAGAATCACATTTAGCCTCTTTTAAAAGAATTAATCACAGATAAGGACTAAGAACAAGTTATATTTCTATTGTAATAATAATTCATTTAATATTAATTTTTATTTGTGATTAATTTCTTTAGGAAGGGGTTGGATGTAATTTTTTTATTAAAAAATATATAAAAAAGAAGAAAAAGGAAAAGAAATATTAAATTAAAAAATTGAAGAGGGAGGGACGGAAATTCCGTATGTGTGTGTTTGGTGTATATAAAACAAATAATGAGAAATGAAATAAAAAATTGTGGAACCCACCTCACTTTATTTTGGATTTAGAATCTCTCCACTTTTTTTTCATCCATTTTCCTCCATTTCTTCCATTCCCACTATTCATTAATTTTATCATTTAAAAAATTATTTAATAAAATAATTTGAATAATAAAGATTAGAAAAATGGAAAGAAAAAAGTAGAGAGACCCCTCTTCTCTTTATTTCACACCCCCTTGGCCCCTCCTCTTTTTCTTTTTCATTTATCTTCCCTTTTTCCATTTGCCGCCTCGTTCGAATAGAGAGGAGCGAAGAACAAAAAAAAAAAAAAAACATTCATGTATTGGTGACAAAAAAAAATTTAAAACTTCATGATGGAATATTTTTAATGAAATTTTAAATTTTCTAAAACTATATAAACATTATAAATATAAATATTTTTATTAGTCATATTTTCTCTATATAACTATTATAAATATAAATATTTTTATTAGTCATATTTTCTCTTTATTTTTTTATTTTAAGATTATCAAAAATTTAAGATTTAAAAAAGGGATGAATTTTTTATAAATAAATAGGGTTATTAAGGTTGTTAATAATATAATAAATATTTTAGAATATTATTTTGTTGATAACATTTGAATTTGAGGCTTTTAAACTCTAGACCTCTACAGATAAATTTTTGGTTAAATTTAAAAATATAAATTAATTTGTTGATATTTTGATAATTATTTGAGATAAAAAATAGATTATTATGGCTATAGAATGATAATTGTAAGCTTGAAACTAAACTTGCAATTTTTAGGTATTTTTTAATGAAAATTTATGAAATAAAAAGAAAAATTTTGATATTAGAAAATTATTTAAAGAATAATTTTAGCCAAACTTCAATAAAACTATTGTGAAAAAAGTTATTGAACCAAGCAGATAGATTTAAATACATGAAATTGGATTTTGAAATTCAAAAGGTTAAGACTAAGGCCTTAAAAAATAAAATAAAATAAAATAAATCCTTAAGTGTTGGAATATGAGTGGAAATTGTATTAATAATATTTAAAATATTGAGATATAATTAATTATAGATTAATTTTTATTTAACACCATTCAAGTTTTGGAAGTATTGATTTGAGGGTAATATTTGACCTCTCAAAAATTGAAGTAACTGAAAAAAAAAATTATTTTATACATTTATATGTTAATTAATTATTTATGTTTGTGAAGTAAATGAATACACACACAACCTTCCAAAACTTAAAATTATTGTTTATAATGCATATGTGGTCTTGCTGAGATATTATAATTTGTGATAAAGTTAATTATAGTACATGTAAAGAATTTGAATGTGATGATCATGTGTGAAGAAAAAGAAATGAATATGAAAGCTTACTTGTAATGTGAAATATTAATATTAATTTATGCTTTTATGGGATAATATAATGTGACACGATCTGAATAACGAGATTAAGGGTTGATGATAATATGCATACCCTTGATTATAAATTGTGTATTATATGAGCATGTTGAGTTTGTATATGATGTTAATGTGATTTATGTGATAATATGAAAATTGATGCATCAGTCATGATTAAAATTCGATGATTTTTGATACTTGTTAAGCATGAAAATTGATGAACATATAGGATAATTGTGAATTTCATATATGAGAGTTATTGAAATACATTTTCTTATGAGTATGATCATATAGCAGGAATTCACCTTAGTGAAGGAGCTAGCAATTGTGCAAAATCTATATTGATATTGGCTATTAACCATTAATCATAGGGATTATAACTACTACTTACCTTATAGAGTATTGTAGCATTTTTTTATTATAGAACTTAACCTTGCTGACCTACCTAGAATTTTGGGTAGAGTTAGTCGTGGGTATAACACCTCATAGTATGTGATTTGAGAGAAATCATATTCATAAGTAAGTAAGGTAATCCTAGCCCGATACTCCCTCATGATATGATTAAGACCTTGGATAGTTTCACCATATGGATGATCCTTTTTAGTTGTTGGCCCATAAATTTATGTTAGAGAAAAGAAGGAAAATATAAAAAAAAGATTGATCATGCATTTCATTATTTTTATGCCATTTGAGTGATTGATGACTGTGTTTGAAACTACAATTGTAGTGGTGGAAATGAGAACATATGATAAATATGTAAAAAAATGTACATATAAGCCTTTGTGCTAATTTTGTACGAACATTCAATGCTTGTGGACAATCGTGCTAATTTTGTATTTGACTTTATTCTTAAAAGTATTTACATGAGTTGGATGTTAATATGATTAACACAATCTTGATAAGATTATTTATATGGTTATCTTGATAAAATTATTAGCCATTTACATTCATGATTAATTATTATATATTTGTATAACTTAGATATACCTTGATTACTGAGTGGTTATACTCACCTTTTTCTTTAATATATTATGGAAGTAGCTCATTTAGGAAAAATAGAGGAAAGGAACATTAAGCCAAGTGATAATAATCACTTCTGTAAGCCTTCTTTTTTTTTTTATTTTGATATGAGTATTTAAATTATGATATTGTCAACTAGGATAATATATTATTGATCCACTTATATTATGGGTTTTGTATTTGGTGAAAGTGCATTTTGGGCCCTTACAAATGCAGTATGGTGCTTATATTTATATTAGTAGGCCAAAATACTTATACTAGTAGACATAGTTATTATATGCATGATTTGAGAATTTGAATATTGTTGTAGTCTCCTCATGTGTTTTGGTGTCTAAGGGTTAGTAGTTGTTATTAACTATATATGAATGAAAAGAAAAATTCATGCATGTAATAAGCTATTGATGAATAGATGAAATATATATATATATATATATATATAGTATAATGACTAAGTGATAATCATTTAATAAATGTGATTGAGACCTTAGCTCCCTACTGCTAGTTATGGAAGGGTTTGAGTACCTAAGTGTTATGTTAGTGAATATATATACTATGTGGGGTAGGGCATAGAGAAAAAATAAGGGAGAAATTTTTTTTCCCATCTTGAAATGTGTTTATTAATGTTTAATCAATCTCATGCTTCTGTACAGGTTTAATTAAATTATGTGAGTTTTTAAATTATCTTAAAGACTTGGGATCCCTTTGTTTTAAATAGTTTGTGAAAATACATATTTTAAAATCATCCTTACTAATCCTCCATTAACTCTAAAATTAAGGTAATCATAGGATTAACCCGATTGAATTACCAAGTTTGTAAAATTTACATAAATGGGATCTAAAATTTTAAAACTTAATATGCTAAAAAAAATATTTTCATAAACAAAAATTAGAGAAAAACTTGTATACGAAAGCATGGACATCATACAAGGTAAGATAATATCAAATTGGAGTCAAAAAAACAAAAGCAATGATTCTAGTATAATAAGTTGCAGCATGTGGCAAAAAATGTAGAAACCCATGATAGTAAAAAAAAAGCTGTCATGATAGATTTTCTAATCAAACTTCCAATGCATCTCAAATCTTCATCCAAGGTTCGATTGAGGTAATTTAAGTGTCTACAGAAAGCTTTTTTTTGAGCTCTAGCTAATGGCACTAATTTCACATTCAAATCATTTATTAATCAAAAGTTGAATACTAAAATATAAACTTACTCATTTATGCTTTCAAAACATAGCTAGGGTGTTCAAAATTCTAATCAAGTACCATAAGCTCACAACTACTTATAGACCACACTCAATAGACTATATAGGACTCTTGTAACACTCCATACTTAACCAAATATACATATAATGTGATTTCACCATTCAACCTCAAAATTTCAAGAAAATACAAGAGAGAAGAAAATTAACTCAAATCATTAATGTCATCCCAAAATACCTCAAAATATACTTTACAGTACTTGTACAAGTAAATTGACCCTAAACAAGATTTACAGCCGCAACTCGCTAATCTCAAGGCACAAAATACACAAGATTTACACCTTGATAATGCAAGTAGCACAAAAATTGATAAATGAGTCTTAGTTGGCAATTCAACAACATAAATACACAAACAAAGCAAAGAGGCATACAAATAGGATTTACACTGAAATTCTAAGCCTTAGTATGCTTTTCCCAATCTAGATTTGATGAGCTAAGCTTTAAAAATATTAAAGATTGAGAGGTGAGTACAACTACTTTGTAACCAAAATCCATCTGATATATACAATTGTATATTAATTAAAAATATATGTAATTGGCAATAAACATATATACTTGCACATACGACAAGTACAACCATGGTCACAACAACAACAACTATGTGACCGGGCATAAAATGCATATGATCATATTTATATCAATTGTGCACAATATGAGGTCACTAAACTAACAATCATGTGTCCTTAATATATGTCAGACCATAATAATAACAACCATGTGGCCGAATCAAAATGTATGATCAAGTGCCAACCTTATACTTATTACCTTCGACATGAAATCGGTAAGTATTAAGTGGATACGCCTATCAAAGACTAACATAACATTTTACTTGTAAGAAGTTACGGGGTCAGGGTTAACTCACTTATATACTACGGTTTTCCCTTATACTAGCAACCATGAGGTGTCATATCTCTAATTTAGCGTCTTCATAAACCAGTGAAAACTAGTTAGATTCGAGTTTCTCATAGGACAAGTAAGATAGTCCTAAATCAATTATGTGATAAAAGCTACCTCCCGATT